TTAACAGACCATATTCTGGTATTTTTGGAATGATTGTTTTAGAAAATGTGATTTCCTTCTATTCATGAAATTTTTTTCAGTTTCCACGTGCTTTTTAAATTGCTGAGCAGGTTTCCTAAGCTTGCTTTTGTGTATATTCTTCATGAGTAGACTATTAGATCCTTTTCATGCTTTGTAGGTATAAAAATACTGTCACATTTCTGTGGACATAAGGTACATAATAGTTTTCATAAAGAAGATGTGACTTACCAATGTTTTAAGAATCTATACCATTGCCATAATTTCATGCATAAGTCTTTTCTCTTTTGTTCTAAGTCACTTATTTACTTGCTTGTGATAGAAGAATTAGGGTTATGTGTGGTATCTGCTGTGGTTATTCCACTTGTTCTCCCTGGGCCTGGATAGGAGAGAGGACGAAAGGAGAGATGAGACGTAGGGAGATTAACAGGAAAGGCGTCACTGCATTTTTTACAGCAGCTTAGAAAATGATAAAATTTGATCTTAGTAGGTCAGAAATTATGAAAGCATTCTTGCAAATCAAAAGGAAATGATTGAGAGTGAAAATCATTGCCCTGAACATGAACAGTGGAACCAGGAAGGAGGTAGTGATGGATTAAGGAGCTTTGCAGGCTTAGCAGCTGACGCTATATGAGACCATTAAAAGGCTGGGTAACATCAGAGTGATGTCTTTGCGCCTGGGAGACACACAATGTCTTTCCAGTAAGCTGTTTTCATAGTGACATTAATCAGAAATCAGTTTTAAGAATCCAGCCTAATGCACTCATATTCCCGGAATAAACTGTTTATATTCACTTTTAATTTATCACTGGACCAGATTTTTTACATTCTTATTTAGGATTTTTACTTGGGACACTGGCATAGCTCGTTGGTCAAACTTCACTGCTGTCATAGGGCAGGGACAGATAGGTACTGGGTTGTTTGTTTCTATTGATTAGCTCAAGACATACTAGAAAATCTTGCTCAAATCAGCAGTCAGCCCTCACTGAGTCCACACTAGGTGCCTCCTACTGTTAGACACTGGCCTGCCATTGGGAGCTCCTGCCCTAAGTGACTTCTAAACTCTTCCCGCATCTTTGCACCACTTGTTCACAAGTCAGAGTTCTTGGCTGAAACCAGTCCTTGTGCTGGTAACCTAGCTGTCCGATGTTGGGGAGTCTGGTTCTTGCCTCTGCAAAGAAGGCAATTCTGTCCATGTTGAAAGGAGTTTTTATATAATGTATCCAGAACAAAAGAACCAAAATGGGAGCCCTTTTTATTTTTATTATTTTATTTTTTTGGGAGTCCTTTTTAAAAGAGAATTTGAAATTAAAAACAATGTAACTCACGGAGGAGAAAACAAAACTCATACACTCAGATTTCTTTAAAAAGATTGGAATTATTTCCCATTCTTCCTCAAAAACCAAACCCAACAAAGGACCACAAATATAGTGAAAAATAGAGAAAGAAAGGGCCCTCTGTTTGATAGAAGGTATGTATTAGGGCTATGTAGCAGCTATTTTACTTAAGTAAAAATGTTAACAATGTTTATTAGTACATGTTTGCAGTACATAACGACCACATTACTCATGGGGAGTTGGTACTGTACACTCTTAATTCTTTCTTTACCTTCTTTTCTTGGGTCTGCTTGCAAAGGAAAATGCCACTCCATTAAGTCCAGGAAGAAGAGAAGGATGCACATTCTTGTAACTGCTAGTGACCCTTCACTGACCCAGCAGTGCAGTAAGAAAAGAGAAGAAAATATGGGGAGACATTTTAAAAAGTAAGAACTAGGACTCTAAGTGTTCAAAGGAGATGTGATTAGTTAAAAAGACTATAGACAAACTATTTTAACTAATAAGAATTTAGCAAGTTGGTGGGAATAAAACCAGTGTTGGAAAATGTAGTTACTTTTTAATACATTAGTAATAGCAAGTCAAAGTACAGTAAACCTATAACATATTTACGAATAAGCCTGTAATAGTTTTTAATTACTTCATAACACCCCCCCCCCCCAGAGGCTTAAACATACCCCGTCTGCTGTCTCACAGTTCTGTAGGTCAGAAGTCTGGACGGATGGGAATGGGTTCTCTCTCAGGGTCCCACAGTACTGAAGTTAAGGTGTTGGTTTGCTGAAGACTTATCTCTTATCTGAAGACTCTGGGGAAGAATCTGCTTCCTCAGCAGCCTTTTTCAGGTAGTTGGCAGAATGTTGTTTTTTTTTTGTAAATGGGGCTGTGTTTCCTTTCCCTTGCTGGCGGTCAGCTAGTAGCTACCCCAGCTTCTTGACGCTGCTCATGCTGCTTCTACGATGTCTACTCCATTGTTTCAAGTGGCAAGGACATGTGACATCCTTCTTAAACTCAGAACACCCTTGATCTTTCTTCTGCCTTTCCCTTCTGCTGGAGAAAGTGTTTGCATTTTGGAGCCTGTGTGATTAAATGAGGTCCACTCTGATAATCTCTCTATCTGAAGGTCAACTACGGGGAATATAAAACACAGTCTGAATGGTAACTCTTCATATTCATGGATTGCAGAGATGGGAATAGGACTTCTTTGGTGGGTGTCTTAGTTACTTTTCTATCATTGGTGAGAAAAAATGCCTGATACCCAAGTTAAAGGAGAAAGGGTTTATTATTGCTCACTGTTTATAAAGTTTTCAGTCCCTAATTATCCAGCTCCAAGGCAGAGTGGCATGGCAGAAGGGCATTGCAGAGGAGAGACAGTGGCAGGCAGAAGGTACAAAGCAGCAAGTGACAAGGGAAAACAACAACCTTCTTTCTGTCCCTTATAGTCTATCTAGGGTCCTTGCCCTTAGCGCATGTAGCATTCACAGCCAGGGTGGGCTTTCCCGTTACCCACACTTAGAACCATGTCAAACCGATCAGTGGACTGATCTAGTATGCACACCCCCTTAGTCCCAGCATCATACACTCTAGATCCAGCCACCTCTGAAAAGCCCCACATAGCACCAATGAGGCTTTGGGGGGACCTCTAAACACAAACTACAAGAGTGGGAGATGATATTTTGTATATTTCACCTGCCACAAAGCCTAAGTAGAATTTTATGAAGCCTATGTGAAAAAAGTAGAAAATTTTCTTGAAGAATTGAAGAAAATCATATATGTTTAACATGGTAAATATATCATCCCCTTCTTCACCAGTTATCTAGCCTATGATTTCAATTTAATTTCAAATTCCCAACAGAATTGTGATTTAAATTGCCAAGCTGATTTTAAACGTCTAGTAGAAAAACATATTCAAGAACTGGCAAAAGCAATTTTGAAAAGAAACAGTGAATATCTAATTAAGTTTAACTCATTAAAATTTTGGGAGTATTGTTTCTGGATAAATCCATTGGCTGGGACTGAGTAGTAAGCAGATGATATAGCTGTTTCAAATCAAAATGGAAATGATGGCCTTTTCAGTAAATGGTGGTGCAATTATCAATCCATTTGGAAACTAAGTTAGACCTTATCCCAAGCACAAAATAATTTCCAGATGGAGTGAAGAGCTAAATAAGTAAAACTGCACCAGTATTAGAAGTTCTAGGAGAATTTGCTGATAAATTTCGGATTAGAGAATGCCTTAGCACAAACACTAGACAATACGATTAGCTAGCTATTAAGTGCATGAACATGGGCTTACTTTTAGGAGAGTCAGGAAAAGGTAAACAAAAATCCTTTTCTTATCCCTTAATCAGATTGGAAAAAATTTTCTCAATCTAAGCGTTGGCAAGGAGGGAAGGGACATGCATTTTCACTGAATGAAATGTAATGGTCTTTTTGGCAGTGTCCCCTGTAACATCAAGTATTTGTGTGCTTCATATGAGTGACTTCACTTCCAGATTTTTTCCCAAGGGAAGTGCACAGGTACATGAGCACAAAGAAGTATTTACTGTATGTGGCATTGTTATTGTGGCAGAAAATACCCAGCAGTGTAAAGGTCTATCACGGAAGAGTGTTTTTGTTTTAAGTAAGTTGTGTAATGGATTTTGAAAAAGGAAATAATTGAATTTAACTAATGTAATTTAGAAGAAAACAAAATACCTATGGGATTTGTAACAAGATGTGTCTTCGTTAAATAGATACTTTGCTCGCTTCATATCAATCATTTTGTAATACATTTAACCAAAACATGTCCCTTAAGTTAGCAGTACATATTCTAGAAGCAGTTGTAGTATTGCGTACTCCCTTTGTATGCATAAGAACGTGATGGCAATTCTCTGAGCGAAGGTGCAGGTGAACAAAAGCCTGTTTTATTGCCACAGTACATGACTTGGGGACTTTTTTTTCTTTTATTTTGGTGGTGTTGTTTTTTCTGGGAATTGAACCCAGGACCTTGCTTATGTTAAGAATCTTAAAGAATCTAATCTATGTATGTTGTGGGAGGGAAAAGAAGACAGATTAGTATTTTAGGTAGATTTTAAAAACAGCCAAAAGAAATACTTTCTTCATGTCTTTGCTTATATGAGAAAGATCAAGTAAAATTCTTTGTAAGAGCTTTTCAGAACATCAATTTTAGCTTTTATATATGGGCTTATTTATTTAAAAATTTAAAAACAAAAGCTTTAGCTTTGTAAATTGTATTAGGTCCTTGTTAGAGTAATGAAACAAGGGGATGAAAATTGCTTTGGAAAATAAAAGAATTATGGAATTTTAAACCAAAGTGGTGTTTGATGAATTATTAGATATTTTTCATATAAAAATTATCTTTATTTAAAAGAATTTGTTCCTAAATATAATTTATAATCCTATAAGAAAAGAAGCTTATATTAATGTAACATTTGGTATAATTTAAGAATTATTTTCCAAAGCAATTTCTTGGATTAAATCACATTTGTCTTTGTAATTGAGGCAGAAACCTGAAGAAGGTACATGTTCTAATAAAAACACTGTCACAGTGAGGGAAGCTAATAAAGGACAAGAAGCATGATTGTATCCTACTGAGGCACCAGACAAGATGCCTTGTTTAAAAAGAAAAATTGTGAATTATTTTTGCAGAAGTCAACGAAAGGTTCCATTGTCCTTGACCATGTATTCCGTCACATAAACCTTGTGGAGATAGATTATTTTGGCCTGCGTTTCTGTGACAGAAGCCATCAGACGGTGAGTACAGTGGTTTCATATTAACTTTTTCTGGTTATAAATCTCTCTGTATCTCTGGCCATTCTGGATGGTTTTATTTGTAACTGAAAATGACTTTGAACACCTCAAACATATTTTTCTCTGATGCTTTCTTTGCATTTTCCTCTCTTCTGCTGAAAGTGTGCAGAGCTGCTGGGTTAGCACCTTCTTTGTGTGTAGTCATCTTTGTGGCTGGCGAAAGTGTCTTCCATTTTTGCGTGTGCTTTCTGTTTGTGCTGGTGAGAGGAGTGGATGATTGTCTAACGTCTTCTGAGAAAAGTGGCTAGCTTTTGAAATGACAGACATTATTGCCTTTTAAGAAAGAAAATAATCAATGTTTTAAAAAAGTGCCTCAAGTTTTAAAAGTGGTTTGAACTGTTGTAAAATAACAAGTAAGGGTTTTCATATATGAACCTGATGATTTAGAGAGTAGGAAAGGCAACCTGGCATATGGTTCTGATGTCTATTATTCACAAGGGTTAACTTGGAAGGTCATCCTGTATATTGGATGGTAGAAATATTAAGAAATTTGTCACAATGGAAAGACTCTGGAGGTTATGATTTTGATGGATGAAGAGATATTCATTAATGTGACTTTTGGTTTAGTCTAAGAAAAATCTTAAACTCAGATAAACCCACTCTTATTACACAAAGTGATCATATGCTTTTCTTAAAATCACTCTAACTGCCTTCTAGTTTTCATCCTGTATCACTGCTGTTGAAATAGAAATGTTCTTCCTCTTCCTTTATCAGTTCTCCCAGCCTCCACTGGGTTATTTACAGTGTTTGCAGCAAGGAAGAATGATTTTCTGAATGATGTCTCTGTGTCCTGGCCTCAGGAATGTCCTAGCCTGAGAATAGATAGGTAAATGGAATGCTGTTGATGGTGGTAACTTGTGATTTCTTTTTAATCTATTTCACAGGAAGATTTCACAAGACAGAAATAAAAATTTGGCATGTGGGATAGATTTCTACCAAAAGGAGTATCTTTTCTAAGTCAAGTGGTCATTAAGGAACACTTAATGAAACATTCAGAGCTCATTGAATTCTATCCCATACAGCCCACAAGTCACTATAGTAAATCTATACTGAAAGATTAAATTGAAGGCTGTAGAAGGTACCTTAAATTATATTCGTATTTTATAAATAACATTTTTTTCTAGTAGAGAAAAATACAGTGTTTGGATTTTGTTTAGTATATCAGACTTTGCTGAGATAGATTGACTACTTGCTAGAAATAGATCTCCCCCCATCTTTCTGTGTTCTTTCTCTTCTTTGAAAAGGAAAAAATATGAAAAGCTAGAGAATTTCAAACAATGACTTGTCCTGTTGGAAAAGAGTTAAAAGTTAGTATTGATAGTTTATTGAAAGTTTTATAGCGTTTATATTAATGCCAGTTTGTTTTTCTGTTACCTTTACTCCTTAGATTTGACATCTGTGTAGAGTTCATAATACAGATTTTATTGGAAAATAAAGTACACTTAAAAGAAGCAAGTTCTTAACATGTTTTGATGTGGTTAGAACATGGGATATATAAATGATGTGTAAAAAGTACTCTTTGCCTTTTGAATTTGTGTTATTTTCTTCTAGTGATTAAAATAGAGATGATTTTTGTAAACATTGCTTAGTCTCTGCATGTTCAAATGTATTGTCTGATTGCCTTATAGTTCCTTTTACTTGTAGGAAGCTTTGAGTGTATGGTCATGAAATTTTGTATTTCTAGTATGTTAGTAGGAGCAGTCCTTCATATTCTGTAGTTACTTAAGGAAGATAAAAATTTATACAGCAACCTTACATTAGAATAGCACAGGATATGGTAAAAAAACTCTTTGTCTTAAAAGTTAAGTAATAGTTTTCATGAATTACTGTTACTGTCTGAGTTACTGTTCATTAGATTAGATTTTGTTTATTGGCTTGCTTTTTCTGTACCCAAAAGTTGATTTTTTAAATGACAAATGACTGTCTAATGGTGCCTAATTAACTAGTATAATTAAAATACACGTTAAAATTTACCTCAGAGAGGACTTTGAAGCTCTAAGACACACCACTAACGCCAACTCTGGGGATGTACAGAAAGAGAGAAAGTGAGAACTTTGTGGATGAAAGACAAGAAGGATAACTAGGGACACAGAAAGCCCTAGGCTCTTTCGCCTCTCTCCATCTTAGCAAATGGTCCTGATTTGGAGCTGTGCTGGAACTCTAGCTGGAATTGGGGGCCGATGTAATTAATGACAAGTATCCTTTCATACATCTTAATTTTATAGTATATGCTTGCAGTATGGTTACATTGATCGTGGGGAGGTGATACATGTACATAGCGCATCTTAATTCTTTTTGTGTCTCCTTCTCCTCCCACTCTCTCCCCTCCCTTTCCCCTTTCTTTATCTCTTGGACTCCTTTCTAACTGCACAAGATCTTTCTCTTTGTTTCCAGTTATCTGTCTTTTATTTGACTCTGTAATTCATTCATATGTTGTGTTTCTCCTGTGAAAGTGGAGGGCTAGAGAGTCAGAGAGTGGATGTAACAGTGGAGGCAGAGGGTGGAGTGATGTAACTATTGGACAGAGGTCTTGAGTCAAGGAATAGAGGCAGCGTTTAGAAAATGGAAAAGAGAAGGAAATGGATTCTTCCATAGAGCCCCTAGAAGGAAGGCAGCCTTGTCTACACTTTGATTTTAGCCTATTAAGATTCATTTGAATTCTTGACCATCAGAATTATAAGGTATTATATTTCTATTATTTTGCATTATCAAGTTTATCATAATTTGTTACTTTTTTTTTTTGGTACCCTACTGGGGATCGAACTTGTGACCTTGAGCCTGCCAGGCAAGTGCTTATGCCACTGAGCTAAATCCCTAGCTCCAGATAATTTGTTATAGCAGTAGAAGGAGACATTCATAGATGCGATAGAGGAGAATTTTATTCTTGCTTGCTCAGCGGGAATATAAGGAAGCAAGGTTGTTACTTGGGTAATTCACATTAATGAGAAACCTAAGATGCTATTATTTTTCCTGTGATTAGAGCTGTATGTGCTTCCCCAACTGTGTGTTCTTCAAAAGTATTTAAGTTCTTTGTCATGGGAGAGGAGTGGTGAGATTCAGTTAATGATAGACAAAAAAATTGAAATCGTAGCATAGACTTCTTCACTTTAAATAATTGGTGATTTGAGATTAGTCTGAGGCTGGGAGGAACTTGAGCCACCTTTTGGGTTTTCAGACTTTGCATAAAAGGAAAGTGATGTGGTGGAAAGAATAACTGCCTTTGGAGTCGCAGGAGTTATGTCCTAGGTAAGCTTCTCATGAATGGTGAAGTCTTTAATTTTTCTGAATCTTAGTTTCTCTATTAATATGCTTTCTGTTACTACAATGAAATGCCCAAAGCTGGGTGATGAATAAAGAAATGGGGTTTATTTACTCTGGTTTAGAGACTTAAGGACATAATCAGTTCAGCTCAGGTGAACATCTCATAGCAGACCACTTCATAATGACAGGAGTATATGCAGTAGGGAGAGATTACATGGCAGACAGAGAGAGTGAACCTGGAGAGTGTCCAGATTTGCTCTTTTATTAACAGCTGTCTCTAGAGGACTAACCCGGCTCCCCCATGAACTGCATCCATTCTTCCTAAGAGCAGCACCTTCTGTGATCTAATTGTCTCTCACTAGCTCTTACCTCTTAGAGGTCCTGCATCATGTCCCACCACCAGCACCAGCACCACCACCACACTGAGGACCAGGCTCCCACACATGCACCTTGGGCAGGCATGCCTGAACCATAGCAGCTGCCTTATCTGTAGGCTGAAAACAAAATGCCTTCTTTCACCAAGTCATAGAATGGTTGTAGGATCTAATCAGAATGCATGAAAAGCTCTGTGTGGGTTATAAAGTGTTAAATGTATGAGTGTCATTTCCTGTTGAAACCAGAGAGAATATAGCTGGTGATTTTTTTTAAAAAAGTAGAATAGGGGGGAAAAACAAGGAAATAATATGGAGGAAAGGAGAGAGAACTGGGAAATTTTTGAAGATGAGTTTTGATGATATTGAAGGTAATAACAAGGGTAAGTGTGATATCCCAATACTATTTCTGGTTTTACTGGTACCAAGTATAATCATGTCTTATTTTATGGATTTTTTTTTTCTTTTGCCGGTGAGGGGAGGGCACTGGGAATCAAACTCAGGACTTCACGCTTGCCTGGGAGGAGCTGTGCCGCTGAACTCTATCCCTGGCCCCTCATATCTTTAACATTAGCATTTGAGACTCCTTTACAAATTACTCCTTGAAAGGCAGTGGTTATGTCTAATTAGAGCTTTTCTCAGAAGATGGAACTCAGTATGGCTTTGAGAATCAGGTTGCTCATCTGCTGCCCTTTGGCTTCAAAAGTCAAAGAAGCACACATACGAGGTAGGATGTAAATATCTTCTTCCTCCAGTGAACTCTTACTTTGCTTAACAGGACAGTAAAAGCAATCGGAAAGAAACTTCCCACCCTCTTGACACCCTCGCTCTCAAGTGCACTCCATTGCTTAGCCATCCTTTCGCCTCTTGTCACAAGGGAAGAGTCTCAGTGCGCCTGACCTGAGCCTTTGCTGTTCGCTGCTCCACGGCCTTGTGGGGAGGAAGGCATCAGTGGTTCCTTGGTGTCTGGGCATAGTCAAATCTCTTCCCTTGAGAACACTTCCACTGTCCCTGGAACCGCCATATGTCACCCACCGCGTTACATCTGAACTCCAGAGTGCTTTGTCTAAATTCTTGGCTTTCATTTCTTAGATCCCTTTCATTCCTAAACTTCTCACAGTTCAGCTTTGAGTCTGACTATGCAACTACCTCCCAGGCTGTCAGGCTTTATTGAACTTGGCCTTTCTGTAGTTTTGACACTAATGATTTGTTCTTTCTGAAAATCTTCTCGTTTTGTTCTTATGGCATGACATTCTCCTTATTTCCTCTTTTCAGGTTTTCTGTTATTTTTGTCTAAGTTCTTTTTGATCT